AAGTTGGTGTGTGTGTTAGTTTGTGTAGATTACTAGAAAACACGAGGAATGTGTTCGTATCTTCCTTAAAGCTTTTTCATGTCCCGCATAGGCCTTGGCGTACTAAGACTAGCTGCTAATGCGAATTTTAACAGACGATGGACAAAAGACAATGCTGTGAAGCATTAGAAACCATTGTATATGATCTCTGCTTGTTTACGTCTGGCCGCTTCCCCGAACTGTCCATGTCCGCAGTGGATATTAATATCACAACGCGCTTATAAACAAGCACGACTGCTTGATTGCACCTCCGTCATGTGATCAGTGAGGTTATTCAGCACGAAGCCTCCCGGAGAACCCTGCCCCGCAGACTTAATTGGAAGAAAATAGCACTAATTAGTCCAAGTACCCTGATAAACAGAGGGAGGGATTGATTTAGGTCCACCTGCTTTAGGTATTATAACGACATGACGAATATGCCTTATATCATAAGTAGTTGTAGTGAATGTAGCCAAGTGCGTTGAGGAAGGTAGTATCTGTAAATTACAATAGAGTACAGGAGGAGGTGGAGGGGGGATCGTCTTAAGCTACTGAGGCCCCATTAGCCTCAACACAAATTCATACACTCCGAGAGTGCTAACTGCTGATGGTATGGATCGAGCCATATAAGGTATGAGGCCACTATAAAGTCCTGCTAAGCCTTCCGATTGGCCAACGGAACGAAAGCATTGCCAAAGTCCAGTGTATCGTGGCGAGTGGATCCCAACCGGAGCTTGACGTAACCAAGTCCTAATCACCTGTGCATAGTCAGCAAAAATAACGACAGAATGCGGTAGGGAAAATACTTCGTGGGGGTATGTCAATAGAACCGTCGCGCACTTAGCAGATCCCGATGCTCCACTAGTACTGATCCAATGGGAGAGCTCTTCGTTCATTCCGCCCTTGTCGTTCAACGACTTGCGATACACGGCTTTTAATTGTTCATAGATGACTAAGTGAAGAGCTGTCTTGACAGTACCCAAATAGCTTGCGCTTATGCCTCTGTATAACCCCTTAATCCCTTCTTGTGCCACCACTTTTCGAACGTAGTCAATTATGTTTTAATACTACTGAGTGTTCTTGTTAAGCTGAAGTCGTGTTTTGATACGCCATATGGGGTTTGTAGCAGTGGGTTGGCATAGCCTACTTGCTGGGGCAGACCGCATTTCAGCCGCTCTATAGTCGACTGTCTGACATAACGGGACGCAAGCCCATCCTTCTTATCTCAGTTATATGCACTATAGCTAGTGGACTGCTAAAGCTTAATAGAATATAGAGATAAGTACTAGTAGATTTAGAATTATAAGTAAACTATATTTTAGCGTATATAGTAGCCTAAGCTAGACTTAA